TAATAAAATTTAATAAAAACTTGATATCTTGCCCAAAGATATGCCAGATTTGCCAAAGATTTACCAGAAAGGTCTACTGCATTCAAAATTGGATTCACTTGACAAAAAAAAAAAAAATTGATTTAAACACCAAGTTTTCCAAACTAGATAAAGTAAAAGAACTGAAACACCTATTATCCCTTTTCTGTTAAATTTTATATAGTATTGGATAATTTAATTTTCACTATTTCAAAATGACAAAAATAAAACTAAGTGATGAGAATGTGACAGGATTTGGGAGGGTGGAGAAGGGGAGGAGGAGCTTTTGTTGTCATCATCTGGCTTTTAGAGGTATCAGAGCTAATCCAGTTACAGGGAACCCTTTTCATTGACAGTAATAAAATGTGAACTTTCTACACAGGGTTGTGCCCTACTTATGGTCAAGTTCCATGAACCAAGAAACAACTCAAGACCAAGAAACACAGAAGCAATCCTGTAAAGATCCTCCCAGGACTCTGTGAGGGGTGATTTAGAGTCCCACTGAGTCCCTTTTAATATCTAATTTTTAGAACGCCAATTATGAGATTGTTTTAATTATCTTCTTTTTTAAAAACTTCCTAGTCCCTAACACAATTCCTGAATATAGAAGGAACGAAGCAAGCAAAGGAGACTCTGAGGGAGGCAGAAGCCAGCTTAGCCATCTCATACCTTATCCCAAAGGAGAACAGAAACAAGCAAGTTATAAGAGGCAATAAGAAAATGCTTCACAGATAGTAATCAAGCATCAGCTGAAAGACTGGCATTAAAAAAAGACAAAAAAAACTTTTTTTTTTTTAAGTACAGGTACAGTTTTCAGGGCACCATTTCTGTGTACTCTGACAAGATACCTTTAAGAGTGCTTTTCTATTATGGTCCAGTGAAAACTACAGCTAAAACAAAATCTTCATAATGATCCCATCTTCAAACACTTTTTTTTTTTACAACTTTACTAAGTTTTATTTTATATCATAAAATTCACCCATTTCAAGTATATCATTCAATGATTTTTTTAGTAAATTTACTGAGCGGTGCAGCCATCACTATAAATCAGTTTCAGAGTATTTTCAGAATCTGAATAAGATCCCTAATGCTTTCTTGCACTAATCACATTCCCACTCCCAGGAAAACACTCTTCTGCTTTCTCTTTTCTATAGAAGTAATCCTTTTCTGAGCATCTCATATAAATGGAATCATACGATATTCTACCACTCTCTAGAAGAGCATATGATATTTAGGTCATTTAACTTGGCTCTGCCCCATTTTCCTCACAATAATCACACCTACACCTCATAGAGCTATTATAAAGAAGAAATGAGATAATCCATGTAAAATGCTTAGAAACCCTAGCTGGCACATGCCAAGCACAATACGGTCTGCTTGTAACTCTACCACAGCTTCCATGTCAGCAGAGCCTCAGTTTCAACATGTCCCAATATGAACTCTACATCTCTACCTTCAAAACTGCTTCCCTCCTAAGTCCCTTCATAAAGAACACTCTAAGCATCCAGACAGTTATCAGAAAGTTCCAGAAATTTTAAACCCTTTCTTACTCATTCTCACATCCAGTCAGCAAGTTCTAGAGTCCTCTTTACTCCCCTGAATTTGCCTCTTTCTCTTCATTCCCTCAGCTTTAATTACAGCTACAATGTTTTTTTTTCCCCCTGATTTAGTGCAAAATCTTCCTACCTGTTCTCTCTGCCTTCAACTGGGTTTTCCTCCTATCTATCTTACTTCTGTCAGAGGAGTCTCTCTTAATATACAAGCCCTTTCTCCTTCAAGGGCTCCCCTAGCCTTCAGTTTAGCTCTTCAGCTTGTCACCCGTCACAAACTGGTTTCTACCTGCTTGTGTATTTCCACCTCTGGCCAGTCTCCCTAACACACCCTTGCTATTGGTCATCCTGCACAATGTGCCGTTTTCTCAACGTATGAACCAGCCTTAGGGCCTCTGGCAAACTAGATGACTCACAGCACTTGGGAGACTGCCATCCGTCTTTCCCAAATCTCAGCTCCAGTACCACTTTGTCTATCAGATTCCCTGGCATGAATCATCATGATTTGGAGGTGCCTTTTCTGTCCAGAGTAGAATGAGGTAATATATAAAAAGAAGCTCTCACGGTACCATCAACCCAATAAAGTGGTTCTTCTTAAGCCCAAGTTCAGCATCACTTGACCCTAGGGAAGGAGGGGGGTGAGGAAAGTATGGAGGAGAGAGGGAGGTGTGTGGGACAGGGAGAAGCAGAGAGGAAATGGGGAGAGGAGAAGAGAGGGCAAATGAAAGGACAGGAAGGAAAAGAGGAAAAAGGGAAGTTGGTAAAAGAAGAGGACACTCCCTGAGGACAAAGGATGACGGAGTAAAGAGGAAGAAGGGGTAGGACACATATCCCTGAAGGCAGGCCTTTCTTTTGGGCATGAGCCTTTAATAACAATGTGAGCCCCTTCTGTTCCTCCTACCTGTGATGATGATCATACAATTTTTCTTTCCACTTTTCCAATCCTGAAACACTCCCACTCACAGTGATTCTAGCTCTAAAGTGGAGGGGAAATTTACACACTTTCATCTGCTGGAGACAACATTTCATTTCCTTTCTAAAGCATTCTCCACATTTACTGTCAATCAACCAAAAGTTACTTTTCAGGTTCTCCATCTGTTTTCATTTTTTTCTTCTCTTTCATCAGAATCCATGGAAAACTAGACTTATTTCAATACACCATAAATATCGAGGATATTTGGGTGAAAGAATCAAAGTTAAAAGAGGTATTGGAGATTATCCAAATCAGTGGTTTCCAGTATTTTTTACCCAAACCCCTTTAGGAATACCCACACACACACAATCCAAGGCCTGGATTTCAAATAGTTTCTATGCCTAACTTTGTATTTTTCACAATGTATTTCCCAATTTTATTAATCAAAAGTCAAGGCTAATGATCAGATTTTCTGACCAATATAAGCTACTCAGTGCTAAGGCTCCTGAATTTTTATAATTATTGATCAAAACCCAAACAGAACAAAATCTCAACATTTTGTTAGCCTATATGATCCAGTATTGGATAACTATAGCTTTGGGGTTTTAATGGAAGTCAATGGTGAATTCTGATTATGAATGTCCACGTCCCTTCCCATGCTTTGAGCTACTGACCACAGCCAAACTCCTCAAGATTAGAGAGGTCAAAGCCCAAGAAATCTTCGAGCTCTCTGTACACGTGATGATCCTTACATTCTGCAATATTTCTTCACAGCACCTTCAGAAATGTCTTCTTGTCCTACCAGGGGTTCTTATCTTGGAATGCACAGAGAAAATTTAAAGAGTCCATGAACTTGGATGGGAAAAAAAAGAGCACCTTAGTTGTCACCACTCCTACAGAAATTTAGCATTGATTTTAATTATGAATAAAAGCAACAAACCACAGCAGTGACTTTCTCACCAGCAGGAATCACAGATGCTTTTCTATCACAGTAAGTTGTTGCAAATTTCTCAAAAAATCATTTACACTCATCACTGCTTCCATATTATGACAGTTAATGGGTCTCCCACTTGGTTTTTTTTATTAAATAGATTAATAAAGAAGGATATATTTAACTACACAATAACTTGGTGTTTTCGTATTTTGATAAATATATTTCAATTTCTTTGGCTTCTAGATGTTTTGTTTTATGTAGTTAATACAGTTTTTCAGGAAGAAGTCCATAGGATTCACTGATGGGCAAAGGGATCCATGATACACACACACACACAAACTGCTTGGAAAGCAAAATTCACTGAAATTCATCTCTGTGCACCCTGCAATACTAAGATGGGGTAATACAAAGCAAATACTTCGGTGAGTAAATTGTGCAATCTCACACAGTTAGTGGGAAAAAAAGAAGATTCAATTTCAGATCTCCTGAACCCTCGTGTATTCCAGTGCTTTCAGAGAGGGGGTTCAGGAGCCTGACCTCCAGACACAGACGTGTGTGGGTTCAAATCTGATAAATCATTTACGGGCCAATGACTTTAGGTAAGTTACTTAACTTCACAGAGCCTGTTTTCATGTTCGTAACTGCTTTATTGGGTTGACAGGATTAATTAAATAAAATATGTAGAGAACTTATCATGACATTTTACACATAATTTAATAATTAAAGAGATACAATCATCTACTTCATGTCTAAATATCTTTATGGAGTTTTCCCTTATACTCTTTATGTTCCGCACAGCTGTATCATTCTCTAAAACTTCACTGCTGTCAGTGTGATGCCACGCTCCATGTAACTCTCAAAATCAGAGCCTACTTTCTTCTCAAAAGAACTCGTGGCCCCAGAAGATCTGAAGGCTGTCAGAGCCAGAGCACCATCTCCCTGATCCTTGTTTCCATCTTCACACGACTCCCTTAGAAACATCTCTAGGACCCCACACATCTTTGGACTCCACAACACTAAGCCACACCACCTCCTCCTGCCCCCATGATCTGTAAGGCCAAGGATCATCATCACGGCCAGCTTGCTTTTTTTCATCTACCATTATCCACGCTGAGGACACACACAAAACTTCAGTCACAGATTTGAGGTTTCTATCATTCTAATGACTTCACATTTTCTCCATGAATCCATATGATTCACCATTGTGCTGCCATTCCACTAACATAGTGCCTGACAGATGTGATGGAAAATTAAAGGGTACAACTCTGAATTGGATTTCATGTTCCTAACAACTCTATGAGATCAGAGGTTACTGTCCTTTTCACAGATGATCAGCCCAGGTTGAGACAAGTCACTGACCTGCCCAGTGCAATACTGCCAGAAAGTCAAAAATTGAAGAATAAATTCAAGAACTCCCATGAGTCAATGATCCATCACGCTTGATTTTTATTCTCTTTATTAACAAGAAATATTAAGCCTATTTTCTCAATTTCTTATTCCCTTAGAGAATTTACAATTTCTAAATACTTATTTTTAATGTATTATTCATGTATTATGTTCCTAATGATCACGATTCATTCAAATCTTGATTTAAGTACCAAAAAGGTGAGCTGGAAATGACTTGAGATGGAAATACGGGGCTGCCTAGAAAAGACAGAAGCATCACTGCAAGGACCCAAGACAAAGACACGCACTATGACAGTCAGATCGAAAGAAGAGGAACTAAGAGAGAGACTGTGATGTACTTTGAACTTCGCAGGGGAAAACAGGGCATCCAGGTTGGAAGGCACGTTCTCCTTGACGATGGCTCAAAATGATCAATGTGATCAGAGCAGAGCCAATAAGATGTCTAGCTTCAGATGTGAGCCCCTGCCAGAGGAGAACTGTGTCTCCACTGATCACACAGCGCCAAGCAAAACCTTTAAATCTGCAGTGTGAGCTGGGAGGGTAACTTCAATATAAACACTGATTCTATGGACATGATTTCAACAGCACAGATTTTCCTATCACTCCCATAAAGTCTTTCACTGATAGCAAAATACCTCCAAGCTGTACATAATGTAAGTGCTGCCTGGACACGTTCACATATCACCATATTTTTGGCTCAGAGCAACATCAGCAATTCACTACTTGAAAAGTGAAAAAAACTACAGAATTACAACAGGCCTAGCACCGCTGCCAACAAATTTACTGCCTCTGTGTTATTTGTAAATTGATTGTTTCTTCTTTGGCTTATGGCAAGTAGAGAATTGCACATACGTGCGTATATATTATATATCAACTCATCAAGTTTAACATTAGAATTGAACACTCCCCACTCTTAGAATATTATGCTACCCTTTAAACAAGTATTACAATGTATGTTCGATTTCATGTGTCTCTTCTAGCCTAATTTTTTGTCAACTGATTTCACTAGCTCCAGGTCAAAACCCTTCTACTTGTCTTTCACAGAAACCGTTTAATTCTCTGGCTTACGAATTAAGAATTTTCAATAGGCCCCTTTTGAAAATCAAATTAACAGGGTTTTTTTTTTTGGTGTTGTTCTTAAGTAGAACAGGAAGCTGGTCGCTAAAATGTTATTCCATTTATTTACTAGGCCTCACAAGTTCATTTCATATGCAGGCAAAAGGAGTTATTCTTCAAATTCACTATTGAAAATACTATCAAAGGCAGCATTTTTCACTCAATAAGGATTAATCTAGCTATCATTTTAAACCTGCAAACCAATCTTTGAGGCACAAATTTTGCAAAGCCAGGTAAGACTGTTTTTGTAAAACTTACACTTCTAGCAGCGCAAGTTAACAACACTCCTGAAAAGTGGAATAGGATATAATCCTGCAGTAGGCAGTCCTGGGCCTGACACCAATTTTTCTACCTGAGGAGTACTGCACCCAAACTGCAACCATGTGACAACTGGAGGCTCTGGAAGAGTGTGCAAGATGACAATCCAGGTCAAAGCAGAAACATCCGGCCTTTTTCCTTGCCAATAAGAAAAACTCTCCTATCACTGCTGCGCATTAGTGAACACATTTTATCAAGGGTGCCCCCTGGGGCACCCAAAGAACAAAAAAGCATCAAGGCTGTCAACAACCAAGCAGCGATACAGAGTCACTTTGCAGGTGTCAAAAACCTCAATCGCAGAAAATTAGGACCAGCCGGCCAACCACAGGAGAAAACGGATACCAGAAGAATACCAAACAGCTGCTTAGGGCCCAGCTAAAGCCAGTCTAGTACCCAGGGGGAGGTCAAGCAAAACACTCACAGAGCACAGGGAGCCTGAAACAATGTAACAAAGCACAGACAGCTGGGCAACAACTGGTGGGAAACCCAGGCTTGCGGAGACAGAGGCGGGGGGGGGGGGGGGCCAGGTTCACAACACCCTCCTCGAGCATCCCAGCGGCAGCCACTCTGAGATGCAGCAGCAGGCGTTTCCTGCATGCCCAACGGGACTGCCGGGCCGCGCGGCAGGGGCTGGCAGCACCTGCACACAAAGAGGTACTGTTGCTGGAAAACCCACTGCTCAGCAACCGCACTCAGGATCCAGGACGAGTTAGGACACTGCCCGTCAACGATCAGACGGGTGTGGTGTCTACACCATCTAGTCACTTACCCTGGTCCAAACAGGCCACACACTTGCCAAGCTCTACCAAACATCACCGGGGAGGGCTCACTGCAGTGCCGTCTCAGAGAAAGGGAAGTCAGTACAATTTTACATCTGTCAGTCTGACTCGGAGTTTTAACTCCTAACAATTGTTATCTTCCATGTGTAAGCCCCAGCGAATGTCAGGGAACCCCCAGGAGTGTCCCGATGTGTTCTCAGGGACCAGTAAGATCATCACTGGAAGAGTTTTAAAAGGATGTGTTTCCATTTAGAGCAGGGGGTGGCAAACTTTTCAGTGAGAGGTCAGATAGCAAAGATTTCAGGCTTTGCGAGCCCTAAGGTCCCTGGTGGAACTACCCAGCTCTGCCATTGTAGAGAGGAAGTAGTCCCAGACAATACTACACAAATCTGTGTGATTGATCAGAAAACAGGCTACAGGGTGCATCTGGCCCACGAGGATATAGTGCCCACTCCCAATGTAAATGATAATCCAAAAACCAAAATACACACAAACACACACACACATGAATCAATGTTCTACACCTTGTATATGTGATCATCTCATAACTAAGGCCACATGACTTCTAAGATTGCATTTATGATCAAGCTGGCACCACAGGGTACTACTCAAATGGTCAAGGGTATGACTAGACAGGAAGTGGACATCATGGGTTCCATGGACATCTGTGGTCTCCCCTTCTTCTCAGAATACCTTCCTCTTCCTTCTAACAGAGGCTCTGTTTCCTGTAATGCATATGGCACAGGCCAGGCAAAGCTACATCCTCTCCACTCTGATGTCAGACCAGAGGTGCAGGCACATGGCCTGACTGAAGTAGCCCATCACTCTCCTGGTCAGCAACTGCGTTTCATGGACGAGCTTGTGATCTAAGTCAGGATAACTAAGGTCCCCCCAGAGCTATTCTGGGAGAGCTAGGGAAGAGACCTGAGGTTGTCACTGTCACAATGACCGAGACGGCCAGACCAAGAGATGGAGAGGGAAACAAAGTCCTAGTGGCTTCATTCGGGCTCTTGGGTTCAAACAAGCAAGAGCCTCTACCTTTCCTGAACTGGGCTCTGAGCACTTGAAACCAAAAGTATTTATCATCAAAATAACTAATACGCTAGCCAAACAAAAGGGCCAATGACAATGTTTCAGCAGCAATTCAAAGCAGCAATACAGGCAAGCCTAACTCCAAAGCACCCCTACCACGTCCATGGTGTGACATCTCACTGCTCCTCTTACCCCCAGAGGAAAGCAGACACATCCCTCTGTCTCCCAAACTGATCTACCCGCGTGCTTCCTTTTTTACCCGCTTTCTCAAGACAGAAACCTGGGAAGAGTCTCTCTCCTCCAACTGTCCACATTCAGCTTGTTATCACATGGGATCAACTTTTCTTCACCTCTCCCCATTCTAATACCCCCAAATTTCTTTTTCACCTCTGTTCCTAACTTATACTAGTCCTCGTCACCACCAAACAAATCCCCCAATATAATCCTATAACGGGGACCTTTGTGATTGCTCGACTTTGGATTTCAAGCTACTTCAGACAATTCTCCAAATTTTATCACAGAACCCAAGACCTTCAGCGATCCGGTCCCCACCTACCTGGTCAATTCATCTTTTTTTTCCTCTGCTTCCTTCCCTCTGCTCCAGCTTTACGCCCTTTTCTTTGGACACCATGCCTTTCTCTTCCCACACATTTTTTCCCCCAAATAATCTTCCCTCTCTCTCATCTTTAGTAAGCTACTTATTTCTTCTTCAGGAATCAGTTCTCACAAGGGCCTCTCTCATCCTTCCCTCCCAGTTTGGGTCAAATGTCCCTCTTAAATATACTCACTCACAATCATGTCTCCCTGTTGGAGAAATTATCTGTTGACATGGTCTCCCCCTAGACTCTAAGATCCTTGAGATTATGGACTACATCTTCTTCTGGGTCAGTGCCCCCAATATGAAACATGGTTGCTGACACAGCTCAGCATTTACAAATGCTTGCAAAAGGAGTACAGGAATGACATGAGCCAGAGCATTCCACACTGATGCTTTCTTGGGAGATAGGACACTTCTAGATAAGAATAACTGAACACTTTTAAATCAAAGGTCAATGTCTATTTGATCAGATTTCCTGAATTTAAAATCAACCACATTCAAATCTTTCTCCCAAACTTTGAATAGAATTATCCTATTTTTCTACTACAACTGGCAGAAATCAGGCTACTTAAATGGTAAACATACCCTTTCTTTTTCTTTCTTTCCATCACTTCCAGTAACAACAGTCATTTCTGACCTCTGAGGGAAGCGCTCAGAATATCCAAAACAATTTACAGTGTTATTCCTAAATATCCTTATATCTTTTGGTTGGCATGTGTATAAGGACAATTACCTCTGTGTAATTTTTGTTGCTTTCTTAATTTCTACTCATCTCCTTTTTCTAATACCAATGCTGATACAAAATAGAGGTTACCAGCATGTGATGTGATTTTCTTGCAGAAAAAAAATCCTTAAAATACAAATAATCTTCTTTAAGTGAATGAAAACCAGTAATATTTCACAAAAGAAACCATTCATTAGTTTCCATTTACTCAAGACTGTGTGAGAGAATACCATTCCAGTTTTCAATAAAATTACAGCGACAGTGTTACTCTAGCCTATTTCTACCAATTTCAGTCTATTCTGGTAATCTCTTTCTGAACACGCAAATAGGTTGCAGACGTACACAAAAGATTTTCTTCAAATGCAGTAGGTAAGCCGCATCCAAAGCATTCACTCTATTTTTATATTGTTTCTCAAAGATGCTTAAACAAAAAATATTCAGGCTAACTTCTAGTTTGTGGGGGTTTTTTTTTTTCAGGTTTAGAGAAAAAGTTTAAAGGAAATGATGTTCTTGTCATATCATGTATTTTACAGGAACTCTCTGAACTTCATTTCCAACCAGTTTTCATAATTAATGATGACACAAAAAGAAATAAAAATGAAAATTCAAACTTAAGATTATTCTTAGTATTAAAAACTATTTTCAGTACCATTTATAGTCTACCTTGAATCTGTAAGGTTTGTGGTGGATGAATAAACTGTCCAATTTAATGTTAATTTACTAATCCCTTTGGGCTTTAGTTTGAAAAATAAACCGAACCCCCTCCCCAAAATAATATATTCTCAGATTTCAAATTCTAAATACACAAGATGAACAGGGGGAGGGTATAGCTCAGTGGTAGAATGCCTGTCTAGCATGCATGAGATGCTGGGTTCAATCCCCAGTACCTTCATTAAAACGATAAATAAAACCTAATTAACACCCCCCTAATCTTAAAAAAAAAAAAAAGCAAGAAAAAAATGATGAACATATGGGTATTTATTATAATAACTGCCCTTAAAAAAAATACAAACAAGCTGCTATTTTATAACACACATCCAAAACTCAGCATGCAATCAAAATGTATCACAGAATTTTTTTAAACACCAAAGACCTACTTCTCACAAATACAGCTGAATTCAGAGGACTTCCATTCTAACACCATGTCTTGATTTCATCGCAAGAAGCTGACAGTCATTTGCTGCCCTGGTTCCAATTCAGAAAGGTACCAATAGGAGCAACCCATCTTCCATCACAGTGCCTCTGTTCTCCCCCTAGCAAAGAAAGTTCATCCCAATTTCTCCATAACGACCCCTCCTCTATACCATAGAAGGAAATCACTGCCTCATAAGCAAGAAGGGGGTAAAGTCCTCTTCAAGTCAATTTCTCTCAATTTCACCAAAGTTCATTTACAGGGCTGTCATATTCAACCTTCTCCTCCATAGCAGATAACCCCTCCTTCCCATGCAACCCTTCACCCTGCAGAAATCCAGCTGCTAGTCTTTTCTTTAGTCCTAAAAATCACCTGCTGAGGGCACGTTTAATAAGGTCCTGAATCACTGCTTTCTCATACTAATTTAAATTAATCCCAGAGAGTTGAGAGCCATCCTGCAAAAACCATTTGTTGGTTCCCTTTAATAAATTAAAACAGTATGGCTGATTTTTTTTTAACCCGTCAGTAACAGAATCTGGTTTATTAAAACACTTGGTGAATTTTCACCTGAATATTCTAAAAATGTTCCAAGGAACAGATGTGCGCTAGAGAAAACCAGGCTGCTATCCAACAAGAACCAAAAGTGTTCTCCTTTTTAGGAGTTTGCCACTTGCTGTTAGAATTTAGTATCAATAGGAACAGAGTAAACAGTCCAACTGAGAAGAAGGTAACAACCACATAAGAAATAAAATGATGATTATGGCTGAGGTAAAAATTGCTCCCAAATGGCCAACTTCAAATACATTTCTTAGGCAAATGAATGCAACCGCTGAGAACCCCAGAAAGGAACCTGGGAATCATCAGGGCCACACCCTGACCCTGAAGAGAAAACTGTGCCATCAACACGGTGAAACTTCAACATACTAAGCTTACTTGCATTTTGAGAAAGTATTTCGTCTTCTGGAGTTGCAGGGGCAAGGGAAGCAAGAAATGTTAGTATTAAATGTTAAGTAAACGGGTGAAAGACCTGTTTTAATTGAGAGTGAACAATATACTTTTTTGGAGGGGGTAATTAAGTTACTTCTTTATTTGTTTGTTTTTAATGGGGGTACTGAGGATTGAACTCATACATGCTAAGCATGCACTCTTCCACTGAGCTATACCCTCCCCACCCTGGGATCAATATTCTTGAATGCAGAACTACCTGTAAATGAATTAATGCAAGTTGTAGGCCTTAGTTAGAGAGCAAGTTAGTGACAAGTTTCCCAGAAAAGATTTCAAAGAACAAACAAAGCTTTTATATCCAATTTTACTCACTGTAGACAAAAGATATATACAAGTATTCCTGGGATTTGAGCTAACTCTTAATTTAACATAATTTTCACAACATAACTGAAAACAACTCTGTATTTTTATTATAATTTTTTCCTTATTAATAAGGAATATCTTAATTTTAAGATATTTCCCTAAACAATGATTTTCCTTAAAAACCTAAGCTACACATCATCAAATGAAATAACTCTTATAAGATGCTAAGAAATCATAAGTTTGCATATACTCCTACACAGTATCACCTAAAGAAGAAAGTTATAATGGTGAAGAAAATGGAAGACACCTGAGTTCTGTTTTTTCAGCTGTATACATTTATACTGCAAAGATTTTATTGGCAAACTTTGTGTGTATGTGCGTGAATGCATGTATGTAATGGTTAAATTTCAACATTGTTTCTCCAAACTTATAAGCCAAGATGAAAATTGAATTTTATAATTAGTAATTTAATATAGTTCACCAGACTGTTTCAGTGACACTAAATCTATATGAAATACTAAGTTAACCATTACCAGAAATAAGTTTAATTTTGAATATTGGCTTTAAAGAAAAATCCCTAAATGTTCTATAATATTTTCAGATGTTATTATACAGTGATTTTAAACTATCAGCTATAGAGTTAATGAATAATTTATTAAGAGAAATTCTTAATAAGTATTCTAGACACCAATGCACCAGGCACTGTATAAAACTCATCTCATTAAATTCTCCCCAAAACTCTGTAAACTAGGTGTTACTATCATCATCATTCTATAGAACAGGGAACAGAGGCTAAAAGAGTTTTAGTAACACAATCAAAATTACACAATTAGCAAGTAATAGTTCTGGGATTAGACCCCTACACTATCTGATTCCAAAATTCTTGTGGTCTTTTTTACTTTTTTGCCACCCTATTGCTTGGAAAAGTGTAAAAGAAATATTTTCTAATTAGTTACAAACATGTATCACCAGGTTTATGTATCAGATGTCACCACCCGGTGTATGTTCTAAGCATACTCACTGCAAATTCTCAGTACACCACTGAGAAACACAAACACTTCACTGAAGAAAAACTTCAGCTTATCTGACATATATCTTTCCTAATCACTAGGCTGCCAGAACTGCTCTGAATCTGAACGTACTCCAAAAAGAAAAAGGGTTTCATTGAAGAGAGAGACCATGAGTACCCAGTAACAATACGCCCTGCCAAGCAGAACCGAAGTACCAAAGACTATTTACACCCGATGCACTGTAATTGGTCCTTTTACCCCAGAGAAGGAAATAAGTGCTCAGACTGGCCAAAATGTCTATTCAAAATCAGCCTTCATGCCCAGAGACCAGAAACACAGGGAAAGCAACAGAAAAGAAACAGAGGAGAGCAACACCTGCTTCTGTGTTCAGTCTAGGGACAGCTGACCAAAAGGGTAGACAGAGATTAGAAGCAGAGACAGGGTGTGGGGGTGGCAATAGAAGCTGGGGCGGCAGGAGCTCAACCACTGAGTCCAAGCGGAAAAGTGAGCAACAACGTGGAGCAGAGCACAGCTCTGTCCTCTCGCGAGGGAGAGTAAGAGGCAAGTCGTTCACCCTCAGGTCCAACACCCTCTTCGTCTAATTGTATAATCGTACACCTTCCTAAGACACACAGAAAACATTCATCAGACTCTTTCATTTGCTCCTCACTCTGTGGTCAGCAGTTGTTATCATCTTCACTTCCTGACCAACTATACGATCAAGTTTTAGAGGCTCAGTAGCTCAAGTACGAGTTAATAACGTGTTAACTCCAAGACTAAAACTCTTCTATCGTAACCAATGTTCTCTCACAATACTGTCTGTAGAACACAGTATGATATTTTAAAAAGAAAGAAATAATTATAACTTATTTTAGAATAAGTTCCTTAAAAGACTTCTGAGAAGTAGGAAAGAAAAACTTCAGATATATAAGGTATTCACCTACTCAGAAGTCCCCCAAAGTGCCTAAAGACCAAGATTTAGTGCACTAGGCTAAAAAAAAAATCACAGGAACACAAGCATCTCTAATCCCACTTGGATATACCGTTACCCAGTAGCATCACCCAGTGCCTGAATATCGTTAATATATCTTTCCTACTCTCAGCTGCCTAAACACCTGTATTTTGCTGCCTGCCTAATGTCTATAGACTTCATGCAATGTATGCCAAGTTTCGTTACAAAGAATTGTTCAACAAAAGTACAAACCCATAAAGGCAGTGACTGTAGACTCAGTTTGGGTACCAGTACCTATTCAAGTCATAAACCTAAGGCAACCACCTATCAGTTCATCTGTCAAAATCAGAATCCAGCATCTGTCTCCACAGTAAGGTTATAAAGAAAACGATATTGTAATACAAGACGGTGACAGATATTTCAATAGAGATCATCTCCTGGATTTTAACAGGCTCTCTACCTTTTCAAAATATACACCATATCTCAAACTCTTATGATCAATTTAAAGATGTCATGATTGAACAAATACAGAAACAAAACAGAAAGAGATTAAATAAAATAGCTAAACTCCTACGCTTCTGAGATAAAAAAGATTATCCTCAATCTTTCTTAATCCAGGAATGTAGGCAGTCTTTCCCAAATGTCTGTAAAACACACTGAGCTAATGTGTACATTACATGAGCCGGCAGCCTCTACTGCACCTGGAAATGATAGAAATGTAGCTCCTAGGCCCACTCCAGGCAGAATCTGCATTTTAACAAGCTCAGGTGACATGCAATTAGATTGAAGTTTGGGGAGCACTCATGGAAAGAGATCCAACAAGAGGCCCAGCTCAAAAATGTCCCTTTATGAGAGATACAAAGAGACCCACCTGGTTCAAAGAAATGGAGGATTTAAACTCCATTTTAAAAGACTTTTTTTTAAAGGCAATCATCCATATCAAAGGATGAAGGGGGGACGGGGATTGAGGAGCTAGCTATGAGAGAGGACCAGGCCTACAGCTCTTGCTGCCACAGGCATCCTTAATATCACATCAGGCCTGAATTTAAAAGTAGCTACTCAATACTCTCTCTGAGAAATGGTTTACTTTATGTTGATGACATACAAGAGGTGTTAAAACAGTGAAATTTCTTTTTCTATTCAACATGAAACAAAAGCAAAAAAAAAAACAACCCACTGTTTTTAAAAGAAAAATCAAAAAGATTTAAAAATTATACAGATAGAGGAAGAATCTAAAACCTAAAGAGATCATTTTTAATGGAACATTTCAAACAGAAGACTAAATATCTGTTGCAAACTACAGTTGGTCGTTTCAGGCTGCACACTAGTGTCTTTTTAACAGATTTTTGTTCAAATCTCATTTTCTTTGGTTAAGTCAGTACATATCCCTCTAAGAGTGGTTAAAGGGTAAAGCCTTATTTCTTTCGTATGAATTCAGTGACACAACTCAGCATCATTTTTTTTTCATTTCAATAGAATAACAAGAATAACCTTCTATTTTAAATGAGGTTTACCGAATGAATTCAGGTATACCAGTTTTTCACATCAGCTATAAATAATTGCTTCCCTCTAAAGGGCCTATTTTTGCAAATAAAAATGTCTTTTTGCCTGATTAAACTTCTTCATCATCGGAGAACTTTTCTTCCGCAAATTTGTAGCTGGAAAATTCGTCATTAGAAGCTTGTTTTGTCAAAATGAGCTCTTTTCTATTGCTTTGGGTGAGCAGTCTTGTAGTTAATTATTCAGAGGAGGAGAGGAACATCCTATTTTAAAAGAAGCACACTTGACAAAATATTTGGACCCAAGTATTCTACCTTAAGACATCTTTTACATTCCAAGGCAGCAGGGTTCAGTATTTATAATACCTTTAAAAACCTGAAGATAGGAGGGCAGAAGTAGACAAGACAGTTTATAAAACAATGAGAGTGGACCCCAGGGGAACATCACAGCTGCCGGCCCTACCTCAAGAACGCCTTTTCCCAAATGGTTCTGGAATGGCAAGTGTTCTTTCCAAATGGAGAAAAGTAGCCAAGCCTATGAATGCAATCTCTATGGCCACCACCACAGGCACCCCCTGTGGAGGACACATTTTGCAGGAATGTTGCTTCAATATGCACTGAGATTGTAAAGAGTCAGACTACTGACTCTCATTTTTAATCCAAGAGATACCCCTAAGAGACAAGAAAGCAGGGTAGATGTGAAACAAATTGGAAATTAACAAAAACAAGATGTTTCCTTTTCCCAAAGTGTTTTCTGCCACTCACTCAGAGACTAGTTTTATACCCTTGGTTTTATAATAGATGCCCAATAACAATGGGCTTTATAATAATATCCTAAATACAGACATGTAACCCAGAGAGAGATGAAAGCAAAAACAAGGAACAAGGCTATGGTCTGCACCCTTTCACTCTCTTTATAGGATACTTATAAGCAACTGAAAAAAGAACACAAAAGTTCATTAGACTCAGCTGTAAAAACTGTATTAGCCATATTCATCTTTCTTAAAAAATGAAAAAAAATTATTTTATAAAAAGCAAACTTGTGAACTGCATTTAAAATTAATACCCCAAGAATTCCAAGTATGCAGAGTTGTAAGGATTGCCATGCTTCCCACTAGATTTTTAAACAATGTTTAAACAGGGCTGTTTGAAATACTTCAGTGGCATCATTTAACCCTGTTCAAAATGTCAAGAGTCATACTGTGCCCCAGTGGCCACTCTTCAGCAAATAACACATCCTTTGAAGTTAAAATCCTCCTAAATGATGCCAATTGAGAATTTCTAGGCTAGGAGAGTTTTTCTACTTTGAAAGAAATCAATAATCTTTGTAATGACAATTAGGAAAAAAGCCCTTTCATCATCAAACTTGTGAATTTTGCAGTTTCAAATGTCAGTAAATTCCTTTACCCCAGGGCAATATTTGTAAACAGTCTTTCCTAATTAAGCCATAATCATAAACCTAGACTGAACTTGCTTCTTTTTAAAAAAAAAAAACTTGATGCTCTTGAGGAATAATTATATTTATTATAATAAATTCCACAGAAATAAAGGGTAATTATCAAAGACAAAGGGATCTGACAGAAATATTTTATTTGGCCACAACATCTACCACATAGCTGCTATTCCAAGGGCACTGATGTGTGTTTCTCTTGATAAATCACGTAATTTACTCAGTCTCCTTGACTATAACTACATGCTGTGCCATGCTTCGAACCCTGCCTCCCTCTGATAGCACAAAATCCCCAGCAAAGAAATCAAGAAACAAACGCTTTCATCAAATTATCATAAGCAAATAGTATCTCCTCTGCCAAATACTACGGTACTTTTAAAACAGATACAGTAGCACTGCTCTCAAGCATTGTGTACAGCCTTGGAATAAGTAAAAGTACATATAACTTCATTATAAATGGAATCTAAAGGCAGAGTTTGAATTTTCAATTCTAATCTCTTTCTCATATTAATGTTTTAGATATGAGCAAGTCAAAAATCTCTCTCCGTCTTCAAAACAATCATTTCTAAGTTGTTCAAACTAACTGCATCTTATGAAATGCCCTTAAACAAAATAATGCCTTTAAATAAAATAAATTACTCTAAAAACATGATAGCAACTTTTAATGTAAAATCTTGAGACTAAATCTTCAAAATTCTCCTGAGTAGATAGAATTACTCAATTCTTCCTCATTTACTTGTAAAGAAAAAAGGTCATAGGTGAACCCAAAATTGTAATTCCAGAAAGTTTCTAAAAGACTGAAATGAAGATCCAGACCTTTTATTCTAAGAAATCTTGAGCACCAGAGAAATGGACAAATGTAACTGAAAAGCTAAAATGTCAGAGAGGAGGACAAGAGGTTCATTGAAATTTGACAGTGTTGCAATTTATTGGAATTAACTGCCTCGAAAATACAGCCAAAATAATCTCTGAGGCAAGTGTCTTCAACTCCTATGACCAGTCAAGGCAAATCTAGTTAAAGAGCCCAGCCTCGGCAGTCCTCCAGGGGAAATAACTGACCTGGACAGTTAGGAAGAAGACATTTGGGAATGGTATTCTAAAGCTTCCACATGTAAGAATAAAGTGCCAACGAGCACCAGATCAAGGATAAATTCAGTTCAAACCATCCAAATTCAGTTCAAACCATGTACCATGGATCCTCAGCAGAGATGTTCCAGAAGAAAAGTCAACAGAATCCCAGTAAAAGTTTCAAAATTTGAGTACCGCTCAAAATAAACATGGGTAAATACAAGCGAAATTCTGCTAACGGACAAGCTATCAGTCTTTTTTAAGTTCCTCATCAGACTTGCAGATTCAAACATTACATAGTACCTGGTAAAGTACAAGCAGGAAAGGTCAGACAGGTAGGGATGCTTACGGACCAGGGTGAACAGCTGCTGTGGGTATTATGTATCATTTATATGGGAAG